CAGGTGAGACTTTTTGGCCCTGCATCAAGCAGCATGCTTAGCCCTGGTTCTGCTGTTCCCTTTCCCTACTGCTTTTCTTAGTCCTAGAAAGATCTCTGTTCTGAGTAATCATTAATTTAAGGCCCTCTGAAATGTTATAATTTCTGTAACATTTACGCTTTATTGGGCAAATATGAGAGATTTGTTCGCAATGACAGAAGAGTGAGTTGTTCTGGCATGTACAGCTAAAGCTTGAAATAACGCCTAGGTTTTGACCAACAGAAACTATGGCAGTGCCATTCAGCAGACTGCAGAAGAGATAGTCACTCCTATCCTCTTTCTGTCTCCAGTTGTGGGGAGAACTTCTCCTTCGCCCCACACATTGTCAGCGGGGCGTCAGGCACAAGAGGGAGTTCTTCAGGTGGATTGATTGTAATAAATACGTCAGCAAAGCAAAGGAAGCTTGGATCCTCCTCTGTAAGGTAAAACTTTTCCATTTTTTGTCAAAGATGATCATTAAGTTGAAAAGTTTGGTTAGTAGTGAAGGACAATTGTGAGTCAAACAGATACCATTCAAGAGGTAAAAGTATCAGGGATTTTTCAGCAAAGGTGAAGATAGAAAGCAAAAGAAAGGGAGAAAATATTTTCCTTCAAACTGACGTTTGTACTAGCTGTCCCTGATGATGCTCCGGGCAACTTCATTTAGCCTTCAGCTGCTGCCTTCCTGAGCAGCCTCTGATGCTGCCCCAGGCAATTACCATACAGCCTTTGGCTTCTGCTTGGTTGGACACCTTTTGTTGCCATTTCTGATTTGCATGATCAGATCTTATAAATTTCACATGTATATGATTCTCTTTGACCATCTGGACAATTATGTAAATCTTTGACGCAATCTTAGGCTTGGTCTTTTCTTTATTTAATTCACTTCAATGGTTTTATTTTCTTTCCTCTCTATTATAGACTCAGAAAATCCCATTCTTCCTGCCCGGTGGAATGCCTCATCTGCTTTGATTTTTCTATTTGTTTATTGGGCGGGAAGAAAAAATACGCTTTCTCTATATTTATCTCATTTTATACTCAAAATGTTGAGTGCATGTTTGCCAGAGCCAGATATTCCATGCCCTTCTGCTCAAGGCAATATATCTTGGCCTTGTCAAGCAGGGATGTAAGAGATTTAGAACAAGATGGCTGCTAAAGCTGTGAACTCCTGCATTAATAGAAAGAGTAGTAAACAGCTGCCATCAGATCTCCTCTTTGCTCATGATACTTTTTCTTCCTTGACTAAGAAAGAGCTGACTTTAGATTAGGTGTCATCATTTCAACTAATTTGGTGAGTGGGAGAAGAATGTTTGACCAACCAAAATGTTACTTAATTTCTTTCTCATTTTTACTATCCAGTTATGATCCTCACTTTTCATTTACCTTCCTTTTGATCACATTTTGTGACTTTTCAAAGTGATGGGCCAACTTCAGCAATAATGTTTAAATATCAAAAAGTGTCCATAATTTTAACCTTAAACAAACTGTATTGCATACAGAAATGTATATTCAAATTTATCTGGCAGCTTTCCTAGTACCACACCACAAACCAGAAATCACTGTAATGAAGGTTAATCCTGCAAAGGGACTAACTGGAGACCTTTGGAGCCACTCTAGCAGTAGGGTGCTCTTAGCTAAATAGTCAACAAACTGGAAGGCCTGATCTAATGCCTGCAGGCTGTAGACCCCAAAACATACCACTACATCAAAGATACAAGCCCTTTGTTGGAAAATTTATGCAAGAAAGTTACACAATAGCTATACAAACAAAGATTACCATTAAATAAAAAAGTATTAAGTACTCTTACTAGAAATAGCTTTTAAAGGAAAAGCTATAGTGGAAAGCAAGCAAGAAACTCTTCCATTTTAGCATCCAGAAACTTCTCCATGCTCAGAGCACTCCCAGTTCATACATCAAAACTTACATCACTGTCAAAACTCAGAAACCTTTAAAAAAACCCACAAAACAATAAAAAATTCCCCAAACCCACAACTGGTAACAAACCCTTTTACAAACACTAGACCAGATCCTCAGTCTAATGGTGAAACCCCAAATATCTACAGTATACTAGTATCTGATGGCTTTAGTTTAAACTCATTTTGCCCTGTTATTGCCCTGTTAGAACTTGTTTGGTTCTGATCAGATATTTACCATGACCATGATAATTTTGTAATCTGTTAAGAGAACAGAAAATAAGATCAAGATTCTGTAGCTCTTTTCCTCGTAAATAATGTTTGTAAAACTTGGGCTGTTAGCATGCATCTTCCAGTTTTCTCTCCCCCAGCTTGAATATTGTTTTATTTCCACCCATACACTGATTGATAGCCCCAGTAGTTTCTACAAATTATTTTTCCTCTAGAATATTATTGTGTCCTACATCACTACTAACTACAGTTACCAACTGTACAGTACGCTGAGTTGGGTAAATCATTATCTATCCAGGCTTAGATGTCACCAACTTACTGGGAAAGAAATAAATTATAGATCAATACTACTGGAACTGGAATGATCCATCCCACTTAATTAGAACTACCATATTTCAGTACATTTCAGACAACAGTTGAAAAGATTCAGTGAATTACTTATATGAAAAAGTCAAACCCTTAAATAAATCTTAATAAGGCTAGTCCCTAAACTACCACTCCACAGAGAGAGGGTTTTTTTAATGCACAGTCATAAAATAAATTAGTAGTAACACCATTAGCAACAGCTGAATTTCAAAACAATAGCTCCTTTATACAGCCAGTTTGAAACACTAAAGCTTCACAGCCTTCCACAAATGGACTGGGTTGACTAGCTGAGAAATTGTGGTTAAGATTTCTAGAAGATGGTTTAGCTCAAATGTCTTCACAACATATCTCTGTGTCAAGTTTATCCTGCATTTTGGGAAAATTTTAGAAGGCTGAACTACTTAAAAGGCTTGACTGGAGCAGGTATGCACCTACTAGCACATCCACCTAGTATCCAACTACCATTGGAAGCTGTAACAAGTCAAGCATATGACTGATGCTGTAAAGTAAAATAAATTTGGAAAAAGAAAAAAAACAAAACAAAAACAACAAAGACAACCCACAGATGCTTATTTGTTTGTGGAGGAATGGATCTTTCCCTTAGTCCAGGATTCATCAATAATGTACCTATCATCCTCTTATCCTTGCAATCCCAAAAAGTTTTGAGTGAGAACTTCATCCCAAACTGAGTGGTTACTACAGAGAACCAGAACCTTGCCCAGAGGAAGGTCTTTGTCAGAGAGCTAGGTTGGTGCTTCCAACAAGAGCTTGAGAACTCGGGTCTGTTTCACAGTGCCGCTGCCTGACCAGAAGCCCGTCTGTACGTCAAGGTGTAGCCCTGCGGAGGCAGCCAGCAGCCTCCCTGATGCAAAGGGAGGAAAGACTGTTATGGCATTCTGCCTTCCCGTCTTTACAAAGTGCTGTCCTTCCTCAGGGTGAATAGTCTGTATCTGCCAAGATTAATTTTATGAACTGAACTACCACCTCCAGAATTGCCTTTGGAAGTGGATTTGGTTTTGATTTGCCTGGAGGATGCCATTTGCTGCCTGTTGCACAGGAGAAGGAGCTGACAGCAGCATTGTTTTGTTTCAGACTATTTTTCAGTGCAGTCAAAAGGGTGGAATCACGCATATTTTCTAATTAAAGAAACAAAACATGCAAATTAATTGATATTTCTGTCTTGCACGCTGCTGGCATATCATCTTAGAAGATGTACTTTTAAAAACAAAAAACCAATTTTATTTCCCTTTGAGAAGCTCCACTACCATCAACCATTTTAGGACTACCCTGGCAGCTCAAGCTAAATCTATTGCTGTCTATCAGAGCAGATGTATTCTTGGCAAAAAAATATTTAAAACTATCAAAATACCTGCTTTCATATTAATTTAGTATTCTTAAATACTGTGATTTGCCTGTGTCCACTGTTCACTGCCAGAAAAAAAAATAATCCTAGAAACAGAGGTTTTTATTTAGCTTTTTACTACTCAAAAATATACCAGGAACTTTTGGAAAATAATTTATTCTCTCTTTTGCGACAATAGGCAAGCTTCCCCTACCATTCACACAGCTGAATGAAACTGATCTGAGCAAAGATAAAAATTGGACTCCAGTGTTTGCATCTCTGCCTGTGATTGTGACTGAGAATGAAAAAAGTGTATTTTTGGCAATAATTACAGCTGCTGTGTTCCTTCACCCTCCTAATCACTGATGGCAAGAATGAGTTTCTGGGGAACTGTTTGACTTCCCCAGCAGTCTGAGCTCCAGACTGAACGTGCCGATGAGCAGTGGAAAACACTGAAACTGTGGCAGCTGGCGGCTGCCCACAGACATGTGGTTATGAACATAACAAGTGTATTGTAAAACATGCTTTGCATTTTTCAAACTTGATATAAAATCTATCACTCACCAATTTCCCATGACAAGCTGAGAAAATTTAATTTTTTTGTCACTTCGCAACTGATCCAGCAAGACTACACAAAGACTAAAAATTAAATAGATAAGCTAAGAAAAAAGAAACAAAAAAATGGATCAAAAATCATACACTGCACAAGGTATAGGAACAAAGGTCATGTGTTATCACAGAAGTGCCAGTTTTCTTGCAAGTAATGCTTCTGATTTATACACCTCTAAATCCTATCATAAGATTACAAGGGAAAAGAAAGTGTTAACCCTCCAAGGTGTTTTGGGATCGAATTGCTTTGTTTAAATGAATCCATGCCCTGCAGAAAAGGCACTGGGCCACTCACGCACCCCACAGTGTTTCCTGAACACTCCTTTGAAATGTTCTAAAGTTTAATGCCTTAAATTTGCTCGCAAGCATCTTGAGAGGTATTCTCGGATGGAACCTCAATACACATACTGTCCTTTCAAAATATTAAACACAAATACCTCAACAAATTAATTTTAGTAAAAGAGAAAAAAAGCATGTTTGTAATAGTGCTTAAGTGTTTTGTATGAAATGAGGTAATGCCATGAACAGGAAAATCAACAACCAAAGCACTTTATTGGACCTTCTTGGAGTACCAAATCCAAAACTGACTCTGGAGTTAGCAGCACTAACGAGACAGCTACAAACTTCCCTGGCCAGTCCCAGAGGCGGCAGGAGACAGGCACGGTGGGGTAAGCGTTATCACCACTCCTATTACTCAAACTGTACTAGAGGGGAAGCCAGAGATTTGAACACAGGAACTCAGAGGGAGCACGAGATGAAACTCCTACCTGGGACACAGAGAATTTGTCTCCTGATAACGCCCCAAAGTCGGCAAAGATCAAGACCCTTTTGTGCTTGACACAGCTGGACACAGCTGCTCAAGGCACTCTTCACCCTCGAGGTCTAATCGCTGAAGCAAGTAAGGTAGGCAAGCTTTTGGAGGGGAAAAAGGTACCTTGAGAGTAAAACTGTTTGGAAGGTGAAAGGCTAAGAACAAAGAAATCAGATTAACTCTTACAGTTCCTGACAAGAGACAGGCAGTACTACTCCTGGCAAGGGAAGACGCTGTGGCGACGTCTGCCTTCTCAGCCTCAGCCACCGCAGCCACTGGAGGCCGGTTACTTATCACAACCCCGGACACCCCCCGCGTCACCTACACGCCGCGCTCGTCCTTCCACGGGCTCCCCCAGACGTTAACCCCACGATTTCAAGACCCCATTTTGCGTCACCGAACCGGGGCGCTCCCGACCGCTGCCCCCGAGACCCGGCAGGCGCGCCCGGCCCCTCCCGCGAGCACAGCCCCCTGCC